AAATATGGAAGTAAAAGAAAATGGCTACCCTAAAAGTACCCTTTTAGAAACCCTAATTCAGTAAAAGCCATAGTTGTTACACAGTGAGAAGCTTTTCTCTTCATACAGATTTATCCAGTTGCATCCTTTTCTCTTCTTAATTTCCTGGTTTTCCTCTCTTTTCCTGCAGGTTTATGTACTGGACAGATTGGGGGGAGGAGCCCCGGATAGAGCGCGCTGGGATGGACGGCAGCAGCAGGTAAACACACCTTAAATCCTTCACTTTAACCCTATAATACCAAACGTATCATATCTGATTCATACGGTTTCTGAAGTCTTTTGGATGTGAGACTTTTTGCATCATTCAGTGGTAAAAGCTTTGCTCAAACCCCTGTTGTACACATTCAGATATACCTGATAACAGCCAGTAGAAGACTACACCAACATATATTTTTGACTTATTGCACGCTAATTTGATCAAAATAATTTAAGTTTTTTTTCTTCATATGTCGTTGAGGGGCCAAAGAAAGACTTCAGACTAAAAAAAATCCAATATTCTCCCTATTTTTCTTGGATCAGGCTTTAAAGGGTTAAATCACTTTAAGTAAATGTCTTGTGATGGGTTCCCCTAAAGCCTCACCTCAGTTCTCCATTATGGGATATAATGTGATACAAAATTCATCTTTTTTATTTGAGTTTTTGGCATTTTATTTCTGTATAAAGTTATGTATATTTTCCGTTTACATTTTTTTATTTGTTCCCCTGAACCCAAATTATTTTAATTGAATTACAGTTTTTATTCATTCAATTTCTCTCTTAATTTTCTGTTTTGCTTTTTATTAATAATTTATGAATCTGCTATTAATCTTTAAGCTTGCCTTCCTCCATTTTGTTGTTCTACGAGGGGTTTTGTGAATTATGCTAATGTCAGAGTGCTAAATTTCTCTGGAAAGTGGAAGTAATAAAAAAGGCTTCCTGTCAGGCGTCAAAAACACAGAAACAGAAGCTTGTTAGTCTAATGAACTGTGGCGGTTTATGTTCTCTGTGTCAGTAACTGATATAAAAAGCTTAAAGTCCAGTTGTTCGTCCCTCTGAAGGGAATCTGTTCTGGTCTCTGTGGCTGTGTTGTGAAACTCAAAGATTTGCAGGAATGAGACACAGAAATGAAAAAGGGAAACTTGGTTATAACAAAATCTAACTTTCCTAAATCGGCTGAGGAAAATGTGATTAATATTGAAATACAGCATTCATATATACATACATACAGCCTCTGTAAACTCTAACTAAACTATTGTCATTATCACTGTCACTTATTTTAGACCTATATATATACATATAGTTACTAATGTATGTATATTTATTTATTTAGATCCTGTGTGGAATTTTGAATATATATATATATATATATATATGTATATGTATAGACATGTATATATGTATGTATATATGTATATGCTGTTGTTTTATTTCTGGAGTGAGTAACAAAAATAATTTCCTTCTGAATTTAAGTATTTCTGATTCTGATACATACAAAAGTAACATGTCAGATGTGAGACTTTTTAAGGGAAGATCTCCAGTGTGTTGAACTTGTGTTTCTCTCACAGGAAAGTGATCGTGAACGAGGACATTTACTGGCCCAACGGCCTCACCATCGACCTGGTGGAGCAGAAGCTGTACTGGGCCGATGCCAAACTCAGCTTTATTCACAGAGCCAACCTGGACGGATCCTCACGGTAGGATCCTGGTTTAGAAGACATATTATTCAAAACCAAGTTTTTAATCATTTGATTATGTACATTTTGAGCGCTCCTGCACTGTGGTGAAATACATGTACCTGCAGAAATGGGAGGAAATATCCACCTGGATGATAAGGACCATGGATCTGTAATCTAAAAAATAATCTAAATACAATGTGATCCACATAATAATCAGAATTTAAAATGCTAATTTATGCACTTAAAGGGGAAATATTATGTAAACCAAGTTTTTAACCATTTGATTACGTACATTTGGGACTGTGGAGGGCCTATCAGCAGGCAAAGTGTGAAAAAAAATGACTCAGTCATGTTTTTGTGGGCTGCCTCAGTCTGAATCCAGGAGATAAATCAGGAGGTTTCAGGAGTGGGTAGTTTCTGACGTCATTAGCTCTAGCTCATTATAATATTCCAGCCTTTCACCTGCATGTTGCCCCCCCCCCTCAGCTTACTCCCCTATCTGTGGAGACGTCCTGGTAGCGTGAGCATTAGCATGGTAGCGTTAGCATGGTAGCGTTAGCATGGTAGCGTTAACGTGGTAACGTTAGCATGGTAGCGTTAGCGTGGTAGTGTTAGTATGGTAGCGTTAGCATGAGCATGGTAGCATGAGCGTTAGCATGAGCATGGTAGCGTTAGCACAGAGCATGGTAGCGTTAGCGTTAGCATGAGCATGATAGTGTTAGCGTGAGCATGGTAGTGCTAGCATGGGCATGGTAGCGTTAGCGTGAGCATGATAGTGTTGACGTGAGCATGGTAGTGCTAGCATGGGCATGGTAGCGTTAGCGTGAGCATGTTAGCGTGAGCATGTTAGCGTGAGCGTTAGCATGGTAGCGTTAGCGTACCGACGTGGGCACACCTCCCTGAAGAAGTGGGTGGATTGCCTGTGTCTCATTTGCATTTAAAGAGACAGGCACTCCAAAGCGAGCGCTCTGAACGGGGCTGTTTTGGCAGGGTTAGGGTTAGGGTTAGGGTTAGGGTTAGGGTTAGGGTTAGGGTTAGGGTTAGGCAGGGGGACTGAACTGCTATTGGGCTTCATCCTTATGGGATTTTGACCAAAGCTTGTCACAGACATTACATTAGGACACCAGGGAACTAGCTTAACTTGTTGAAATAGGGTATAATATGCCTCCTTTAATCGTTTTTCTCAGATACTATTGAAAAAAGGCCAAATGGAAACTACCAAACAAAACTCTCTACTCTACCTGTATTTAGTATTTATATATATATTTAGTATTTACACTGGAGCTAGCCGTTGCTTTTATGACCTTTTCAGCCGGCCAACAGCAGAATGCCGGCCTCTGATTGGCCATCGAGGCCCAGATTGGATGAGTAATGAAAGGAATTTCTGTTTTAATTTTAGAGACGCTGCAAAAAACTCTATTCTTTCTGTTGGTAGATAGATAGATAGATAGATAGATAGATAGATAGATAGATAGATAGATAGATAGATAGATAGATAGATAGATGTACAAATAAATGCATAGATAGATAGATAGATAGATAGATAGATAGATAGATAGATAGATAGATAGATAGATAGATAGATAGATACTTTATTGATCCCCAAGGCGAAATTCAACCTCACTTGTAATGGAAATACCCCTAAACTGACCCTTGGAAAGGCAGCTTTATTTTTATAGCACATTTTATCAACAGGGCAATTCAAAGTGTTTTAGATAAAATCGGTTTAAAAATAAAATAGAAAAACAATTAAAATAAATACATTAAGATACAGAAGGAAGAACATTGGATTTTTTTAGTCTGAAGTCTTTCTTTGGCCCCTCAACAACATATGAAGAAAAAAACTGAAATTATTTTGATCAAATTAGCGTGCAATAAGTCAAAAATATATTTTTGTGTAGTCTTCTACTGGCTGTTATCAGGTATATCTGGATGTGTACAACAGGGGTTTGAGCAAAGCTTTTACCACTGAATGATGCAGAAAGTCTCAGATCCAAAAGACTTCAGAAACCGTATCAAATATGACACATTTGGCATTATAGGGTTGAGACCCCCAAAACAGCTTTAAAAGCCCCAAAAAACTGTTTTAAAAGCACCAAAAACAGCTTTAAAAGCCCCCCAAAATAGCTTTAAAAGCCCTTAAAAACAGCTTTAAAGGCCCCAAAAAACAGTTTTAAAAGCACAAAAAACAGCTTTAACCCTTTAAAGCCTGATCCAAGAAAAATAGGAAGAATATTGGATTTTTTTTAGTCTGAAGTCTTTCTTTGGCCCCTCAACAACATATGAAGAAAACAAACAGAAATTTTGATCAAATTAGCGTGCAATAATCCCCGTTGGTTTGGGATCGTCTCGAGGTTTTTCTAGTTTCCGTCGGGTTTTTTTAGGCTGTACTCAGAGAAACTCCATCACATCACCTGTAAAAACGTGCTAAAACACGCCGTGTTTTCAACCGCTCCACTGCAGCCGACCGGGAAACATTCAGGCCCGATGTGTATCGCCATGGCGACCAGAAAAATGTAATCAGTTGTTCAGACTTTATTTATACAGCACTTTTCAGACTCGAAGTGCTTTACAGATCAACAACACAATACAACAAAGACCCCAAGAGTCTGTCTCTGTCTCCCCCACACACACACACACACACACACACACACACACACACACACACACACACACACACTGACCCCCATTTCTAATATCCAACAATACACCTGAGGAACACACAGACCAGATAAAAACATCACAGAAATAGAAAATACACTCCACACCGAAGCACATGAACTCGAAAACAACTCCTTTAAAATTTCTTTAAAAACTATAAATTGAGAAGTTATACCTGCATAAGTATACGTTTATCCCCAAAAAAGTGAACTGTTTATTTTTATTGTGATTATTTTATCATTTGCTTCCATAAAAATAATTTGAAACAAAAAAAAGTATAAATTGAGAAGTTATA